ACCTCCTCCCAGCTTAGCTAGCGTCCTCGCTTCCCCTCTGATGTTGAAAAAAAGTCTATTCAATATTCGCAGTTGTTTAATCTTCCTCAAAGAGCTGGACTGAGTTGCTGACTGAGCACATAAATAGGACCTTAGGTCACGAAATACACGCCCATTTATTTCCTACGAGGGCAGCGCCTCCGAAGCAATCTCATTAATATTGAAACGTCAACAGCCCGGCGTCGAATGAGTCATATGCTTCAAGCGCCCCATCAACCACTGTTATTCGGCATTATACATTCATGAACCAGCTGGGGCAAGGGCAGATTCATCAATCTAGTCGTCTTGAATGCCCCAGCCGCTCCACGAATCGATTCATCAGTACAATATTCATAAGTTCGTTTTATTCGGCGTTATACGTTCATGAACCAGTTGGGGCGAGGAGAGATTCATCAATCTAGTCGGCTTGAATGCCCCAGCCGCTCCACGAATCGATTCATCAGTACAATATTCATAAGTTCATTTTATTTGGCGTTATACGTTCATGAACCAGCTAGGGCAATGGCAGATTCATCAATCTAGTCGGCTTGAATGCCCTAGCCGCTCTACGAATTGATTCATCAGTGCAATATTTATAAGTTCATTTTATTCGGCGTTATACATTCATGAACCAGCTGGGGCAAGGGCAAATTCATCAATCTAATCGGCTTGAGTGCCCTAGCCGTTCCACGTATCGATTTATCAATACATTATTCATAAGTTCATGTTATTCGGCGTTTAATGTTCATGAACCAGCTGGGGCAAGGGCATGCGACGGGGCCTTAAGTCGATTTACTTGTTCGGATAAATTAAAGTTAAATTAATTGCCAAGTTACACTGTTATCCAATTGGCAGCTATGCAGTGGGATATTTAGTCCACTCATCTCATGATCCTACGTCCTATTGGATCGATAGTTAGCAAGCACAACAGACAGTAATCATTTTATCCAAGGTAGTGAAAAGCAAAACTCTTCATTAAAATCAAAAACTGCGTACAACTTATAGTGAAATAAAAAGAAAATTTTCATTAATAAATTGATCGCAGATAGTAACTAATTTATACATGAAAATTACCTTGAACTAACAGAAATCTACTTAACAAAAACATACATTGAAATTGAAAATACTTAATAAAATCAGAATGTTTCCCAAATCAATCCTCGGGATCAGACTCAAGTGGCTCAACGTCCACTTGCTTGTATGGAATTGGCATGGCCAATGTAACTCTAGAGGCAACAAGGGCTTTGAGCCACCCATGTTTGAATCTCCGATTCTCGAATTTGAGGACTTCTTCTACGTAGTTCTCAAGGGCGGCGCTCTTTCTAGGCTCGAATGCCGCAGAAGCCTCAGAGTCGGCTTTTTCCTTGGCCTTCCTCAACTCTTCCAACTCAGCCTCCACCTTGGCAAGCGCCTCCTTGGCGAACTTGAGCGATTCCTCGCTCGCGTTCGCCCTCTCCTCGGAATCAGATCTGAGTCGATCAGCAGTCTGAGTCCTCTCCTTCTCAGCTTCGGCTTGAGCACTTTCCATCGCGGCTCTCATCGCCTTGAACTCGGCCCTGCTCCTCTCACCTTCAGCTTCCGACTTCAGGTGGCCAATTCTTTCAACGACATCGTGCTGGCAGCGGCCTAGTTTGGCTATCCTTCCAACCGTCTACAAAACAAGGAGTCACATACCAAGAAATATCGTAGCTACCAAACCAAAAAAGATCAAGTCACATACCAGAAGGGCCGACTAGGTAGCTAACGCTATAGCTACCAAATCCGGCTTTGCTCGAAAAAAGGCCTTGTCAGCCGACAACGAGACTGAGGCGGCCAAGCTCAATGCTACAACTGGATCCTTCAAGGCAGATGCGTCAGAGGAGATCAGCGTGTTTTTGATTTTTGGTTGAACAACGAAAGGAACAACCACATCCGACTCTTCTAGACGAGGCCGTTTGTCAGCAGGACTCTCCTCTGAGCCAGCCTCTCCTTCGGCGTTATGTTTTTCGCCTCGCTCTTCTTGAATCGACCGTTCTTCTGGAATCTACTATTCGGCCTCCTTATCCGACTCGGCCACAACAACTTGAGCCATCTCTTCTATAATAATGGGTTGCGAAGATTCAATCGGGGCAGGTCCAGAACAGGTGGCCTCGGCTTTTCGTTGCGCGGCCATGCGTTCGGCATTTCTCTTTCGTTCCATCTGCGTTAGATTTTCCCCAGCCATACCTTCAGAAAAATCACCGGGTAGATGTCCCAAATTTGTAAAAATATCTCTGAAGGAAAACTCTGCCCGACCCGAAGTGGACGGTGGGTCAGGCTGGTTAAGGCCGGCTGCCTCAAACGCTGAGTTTAGAGCCTCGTCGACCTCCTCAGCCTCCGCAGTGAACTCTCTCGTTGGTTCGGCAACTACCTTGACCACCGTCTCTACGTCTTGCTCCGAATCAGAAGCTTTGAAACCAATTTGCCTAAGGATCTTGAAGTTGCGGAAGATAAGAGCCGTAAGATGGTGTTCACCGGATGGGATCCGAATGTCGTCCGCGGCCGAGAACGTAGTATAAGTGGGCTTGTACCGCAGGAGTATATGGGCGGCTTTCCCCTGCTTCTATATGTTTGGACAGCCAAAATACTTGAGTGCAGTCTTAATCTCCGCAAGGACTGCGTCGTCAGCCGAGGTCAGAACCTTCTTCAATTCATTGCCTGCAAAAACAACGGATTAGACTTGAAGAAAATGCCGAATAAAAGAAAGATCAATAAACACAATGAGTTACACGGCAACCTGGTTCGCCCCTCTTTTTGGGAACAGGGTCTAGGCGATCTTTGCCCTCGCCGAATTCCCAGTTGCTTCGGACATTGACCATTACATCGTCAACTTGTTTGCCAGAACTGGCAAGCATGGTTACCAAGTGATGGTCGGTGTCCTTGGCATTGAGAAAGTAGCGCCCGAGCCGACCGGAGGATTTGGCTAAAGCGTAGAAGTGTCGAATCGCCGAAATGCCAAGGTTGCTCCTAAGGCGCTGGTTCAATTCCACGATTCCCATTATGATTCGAAAGAAATTCACATTAGGTTATGAAGGAATCAGACCCCAATGGCGGAGGACGGCCCTAAGAAATGGGTGTAGGGGAAAGCGAACCCCGCCCTCCGCAATGGATAGAAGAAGAAAGACAATGGTATTTTGGTCCTCCCTCTCCATATCAAGGTTATTATCCATCACTAGAGATATATGGACATCATCAGGGATAGAAAATGTCGCCGGAACCCAGAAATACGACCTTCGGAAAGGAGGTCTTTCAAATGTTTAGCCATTCTAGTAAGGACTTAGAGGTATTCTAGATGAAAAATGAACACGGAAAATAGGATTACAAAGAGAAGAGAAGAAAACTTACAAGAGGGAAAGGAGACAAGGAGAGACGGGAAGAAGTTACAGAAGACGCGAAATAGAGGAGGGATTCCGGCTGGCAATCTAGGAGGCTCAAATATTCAAAAAGTATGCATTCGAAGAGATTGAAGTTTCAAATCATAATAAATGCAGAAGATGCACGAATGAGGCGGGAACGTATAATGATGACCAAAAGGCGTGTGTATTCTGACATTCACATTGGGATAGGTGAAGCCGCCTAATTTATGTCTCTCTTGACTTTTCAAATTTGAAACTAAACACACCAATTAACTGCCGTTAATGGAGAGTTTGGGGAGCAATTGTGGGAGCCGAATAATTAGCAGAATCAGAAGCGTACACCTTAGAAGATAGACATTACTCGGCCCTAACCTGCACGATTATGAGGCCGAATATAATTAATAGGCCGAGTAACTATTGAACTATGGGGCTGAATAAATAAGCAGATAATGAGCGAAAAGTGGACCAGGCCCCGAGGCCCTGGAAACGAGTATAAATAAAGGAACAACAGTTAAAGAAAGGTATGTGAAAACTACTACGCTTAACTTAAAACACAAGTAATCCAGAATAGAAACTGACTTGCCCGTCGGAGTGCTAATTCCGGCACCCTCGACCGGAGCGTTTATTCCTTTTCAGGTGACTAGCAGAGGATCACGAGCGTTCCTCAAGATCTGAAGAGTATTTCCAAACCACTTCTCCACAACTTCAAATTTGATGGTTTTTTTTTTTTTTCCTTTTGTCTTCAAATAAAACCAGCCAACTGTACAATCTAATACAAATTGTGATCGTCAAAGTGTTCAAATTTGACATATCAAGTAGAGAGTTTTCATGTCAAATTGACATATATTAATTTGCCATTTAAGTTTTCAAAAAAATTTGATATACCAAATTTTGAAGATTTAGATAAAGATACTCTAAACTAGTAATATTCAGTCATACTACAAACTCAAAAAAAAATATATATATATATTCAAAATTTAATATTTATAATCAAGATGTATTTAAGGTGTGGTCCAACAATAAAAATTTTAAATGTACATTATAGATCTAAAATCCTTGATAATATCCTGATCTATTTTTTGGATTCATAGACTTTGCCTTAAACATATAAAATTAAGGCCTTGTTTGGCATGATCTAAAAAAGTCAAAAAATCAAAAAGTCACTATCTTATTTGAGTCACATTATTTTATTTAAATCACGTCACTTCAAACTCAACCTATACCCAATTCATATTTCATAAAAAGTCAAAAAGTACACTTATTTAAATCATCCCAAATCACCCCTAAATGCTACCAGGTGCTACAAAAATATTGTTTAGAATAAAAATTACTTTAAGATTAATTAAAAAAATAAACATATTTTGAAACGAGTAAAAAATGTTTGAAAATTAGTAAAATATGTTTCGTATTCTTTTTTATTTTTGTTTTGTTTAGTTATACCTCTATTACACTTGTTACCAAAATTTGTATAAAATTTAAAATCAATTGTGTTATGAATATTATTTTTCACAAAATAAGACATAAATATGAGACAAATATATGTATAAAACTCATCTTTATCTTATATTTGTGTCTCATTATGTGCAAATCGTGTATTTTGGCAACACTACTCATCTAAACACATTATAACCTAATTATCAAATCAAAACCAAGATGATAAGATATATTGCTCTATCACATGCCTAACTAGCTATTTCACCACCCATTTATGCCACTCACAGTTCCTCTCTCATCTCATGGCAGATTTCAATGTAGAGTTTCACAACCTTAAACCTTTATTCTCAGAGATGAACAACTCAAACATGGACCTGCTAAACAACCTCAGTTCATTTGAGAATCTCAACTCACATGTTCAAGGGCTTGTTTCTTTATCATCCAATCATGACAGTTTCTTGGATCATCACCACCATCAACTGTCACAGCTTCCTATGACTTTCACTGATACTAATATTCAAAGCTCTGTCCATTCTGATAGTCCTTTTTATGATCCACTCACTCATTTCCTTCCATCAACTGAAGGTCCAAGCCTTGAAGACAATAGCTTGAAAGGGACATCTGAAACAGATAATAAGAAGAAGAGAAATTATGTAATATATCTACATACATATTTCTTTTTTTTCTTATACATATATATGTGTGTTATCTATTTAATTTGTTTGTGAATACAAATGATAACATATGGGATTGTTTTTTCTGTTATATGTATTTGCAGAGCTCTGGTGGAAAAAAGAGAAAGAGAGGCAATGAAAGAGAAGTGGAGAAGCCAAGAGAAGTTATTCATGTGAGAGCAAAGAGAGGTCAAGCTACTGATAGTCACAGTCTGGCAGAAAGGGTTAGTGTGTATTATATTTTTTTTCTCCTTCTAAAGTATTTGAAAAAATGAAATATAAGGAATGAATTGATCATGGTTTCACAAACATTTAATAATTCTAATTATTTGAATAAGAATAGAGAATATTTTATGAACTAATTTTCTTGTTTTTAAGAGGAAAAACGATAGATGGTGTGGTTACAAGAAAGAAAAGCTAGAATTATTGGCTTAAGAATTTTACTTTGGTTGTGACTAGTTAAGAAGAGAGAAAATAAATGAGAAGTTGAGAAGCTTGCAGGACTTGGTTCCAGGATGTTACAAGGTATGGACTTAATATCTTCTTATTTTACAAATTATTGCTATCATCATCATCATTGTCTTCTTCTTCTATCATTAACAAAATATTGTTAATGAGTCTATCTAGTGTCAACCAAGGGACTCTTAACCTAACTGACTAACCTTTTGGCCACTAAATCTTTCTTAAGGGGATGATCTTAGGTTCCACTTAAGAGTGGAATGGGAGGACAAGTTTCAACTCCCTCGAAATACTAATCTAACAATTAACTATTGATTTTCGCCGATAAAAAAAAAAAAAAAAAAAGAGTCCATCTGCTGTTTGATTAGTCAAGATAAACATTGTTGTTGCTGTTTTTTATTTTTTTATTTTCGAAATACTAATCTAACAATTAACTATTGATTTTCGCCGATAAAAAAAAAAAAAAAAAAAGAGTCCATCTGCTGTTTGATTAGTCAAGATAAACATTGTTGTTGCTGTTTTTTTATTTTTTTATTTTTTTTTTGATCAGCAAAAGAAATTTTGAATCTTCTTCTTGTTATGGATTTGCAGACAATGGGAATGGCGGTAATGTTGGATGTGATAATAAAATATGTTCAATCTTTGCAGAATCAAATTGAGGTTAGTTATAATCATTAATCCAGAAAAGAAAAGAAAAGGAATGACTTCTTAAGAAAATAAATTCTGTTTTTTCTCTTCCTTATTTGACTTAGTTGAAGATAAAAAATATAAAAAATAAAAAAATTGATTATTTCTCTCTTATCTTATTTGAATAAACTACATAAAAGAAGAGTCTTATATTCTCTCTCTCTCTCTCTCTCTCTCTCTCTCTCTCTCTCTCTCGCAGTTTTTGTCAATGAAGCTTTCAGCAGCTAGTTTGTTCTATGACTTCAACTCAGAGATGGAACCAATGGAAACAATGCAGGTAAGTACTCAATCGTAATCTACATAAGCGTATTTGATATTTCCGGTGCTTTACTACTAGTCAAGAAAAATTGTTTCCATGGCTATATCAAATAACTTAATATTATTTAAGATCATAAAATTACAAAATTTTCTTGGAGTTATTAGTACCTTTTTTTTTTTTTTTTCCCCCCCCTGAATTCTTGAGGTTTAAGAAGTTGAATTAATGTCTCAACCACAGAGTTCAAATCTGATGAACTATAAATAAAAGCTTTAATTAAATTGAAATGAAAAACTGTTGATGTTGCAGGTGACAAATGGGTTCGAGGCTCAAGGGATGGAACGGACGGTAGGAGAAGGGTATGGAGGAGGGTTTTCTCACTTTCCACCACCATCAGCATGGCCTCTTTGACCTAAGTTTTGGTTCCATCACCTTCTATTCTATAGCCCTTCTATATATATATATATACATAATCACAATAATATGGCCTCTCTCTGCCTCTCTTCTTTCTTCCCCGAATTGAAGGTGATCTCCATCTTCTTCTTCATCCTTGAAGCATGCATATACATGAAAATGGCACTTGTATTATAATCCTCCATCAACATTTGCCTGACAAAATAAAAATCAATGTTATAAACAACTATAAAGTGATATATACAATCTCTATTTTCTTCATGATTATATGCAGTTTCTCATATGCTTCAGTATAGTCTCTTCTAAACATGTTGTGTGATAAGGATCATGAAGACAAGGGTGAGTGTTTGAAATAGTTTCTTCAAGCTTGTCTGACTGCTCTATTCCTTTTTTCTTCTTTTCTTTTTTTTTTTTTTTTTGACTGCTCTATTCCTTTTTTCTTCTTCTCTTTTTTTTTTTTTTTCCTTTTAACCCGCCACGCCAAATAGAAGGCATGTGTTTCTATTGAATTGTTAACTACCAACTTTTTAGATGTTTAAATTGTTAAAGAGAAATAAAACTTTATTATTATGTTCCTAACACGATTCATTATGTGTTGCCGGTCTCTATTATAAGACCATGTTTAATGGTTGATTACTAACCTATATAGAAATCTAAGTTGTTAAATAGAAAATATGCTTTATTATTTATATTCTCAACAACAATTAAGTATATTTTGCATTTAATTTTTTGTTTGTTTGTCTGTCTTAATGCACTTTCAATCGTATGAATGTGGTTTTAAGATATTTTTGTGTCTTGATTGACTCGTGTTATAGGAGTGCATTATGACATGGGGACTAAAAAATTTAGATACAGAGAATCCTAATATATTGCACAGGATTTTGTTAATGAGTATTACTGGTTGAAAAGGTTAAAATAATTGTACATATTGCATGAAAGTTTATGTTATGAAGGATGTATAATTATTTTAAACTTCGTTAATCAATGTTTCATGGACACTGATTAATACTTATTAATGTATCACATTTGTGTTCAGTGATAGTGATAGCCAAACCAAATGACAGAGCAGCTGTACGTAACTGCATGTATATATGTGGATGAAGATTAATAGGTCCCATTAAAATGATGAATAGATAGGATTAACCTGTTGTTGGCAATTTAATTCTTGAATGACAGAGAGAGAAATGGAAGTTATTAGGAAGGTACATTGTATCCTTTGCATGATTGAGATGGACCCAATAGAATTAGACAGCTTTGATAGGGGACCATTTCATTGCCCAAGAGAGATGGATTATGGGTCCTTAAGAAATTGAGATTTCTCTGACTACTTCCATGACGAAACCTCATTCAATAATTAATTATGAACTTCAAAAATCAAAGAATTATAATCTCTTTTGCTTTGCATGCATGCATTTATTAAAGAGGAGAGCGTCATGAATCCCATAATAGATCAAACAACTATCAAAATGAATAGGACCATTGTTCAACCTTGAATAGTATGTAGTCATATCCATTCAATTATATTGTGGCTAGCTTGAAAAAGTGAATTGTGAATATGCCATATATAATGACCTCAATTTTAAAGAAAAAAGAAAAGAAAAGAAAAGAAAAGATCAGATCGGTGTTTTTTTTTTGGTTCATTTAAAAGACAATTGTCCATCTTTCCTGATTAATGAGATTAGCCTAATATCGGTATTAGTATTTTATACTTTTGATACCAATATTTATTAATATATTAACTAATACTATCTAATATCGATTGAGATATGATTGTATTGTCAATACCGATACATATCCTAGTATACCTTTATTTAAAATCATGATGTTTGGTAAGAAATCCCTAAGAAATACACTTAACTGGCTAATGGTGAATTTGCTCAATCAAGTGCACATTTCAGTCCAGTCATCATGGCCAACCACAAAACAGATTTGAAGGTCAACCAAAAAACAAAATTATCACGCGTGTCAAGAATTTCGACATGGCTTTGTGCTTGTTTAGATATTAATTTACTCATTTAAGTTTTTCTTATTTTTGTCAAAACTAGTAACATATCCCTTATTACTGGATAGATACATAACTATATGATATTCCTATAACAATATAATTACTCCAAAAAATGTTAAAGATTCCAATCTCATCACATAAACGTATCTAATCTAAACTTGAATCATAGTATTTTATTTTATTTGGATTTCATATCATAATGAACCCAAAATTTATCAATAAGCCCACATGATATCCACATTATTAATCCAATCCAAGGGCTATTAGAAGTAGTTCTGGGCCGCTCTTATGTTAAAATCTATTCACCATGTTTTGTAACTGGGATAGGATTTTGGGGATTTGACCGGATTTGTAATTATATTCCATGGATTGTGGACAAGATTAGTACTAATGTTCAGAGCAAATTTTGTTAAAAAAACTTTGACAGCAGATAAAAACACATAAATTATCATTGGTTTAAAAAAGTGGAATCACAACTTCAAGTGGGTTAATACACTTTTTGAAATTAAGACTTATTATTTTAGACCAATCACAATCCGTGTATTGTTTACTCACTAAATGTGTAAATAAATTCATTTTTATAATATGTATTGAAGGGGCAAAATATAAACGGGTCGGATTCAAATCTCAGGCCGGCCCAATCCGTTAAGCCCAAGTCCAAGTGGGTTAGGTGAATGTGTGGGTCAGCCAATAAAGCCGAACTCCATGATCAACAGTCCACCCAAGTTCTCAAGCACTTGGGCCCAACTCGCAGTGGAAAGGTCAGTCCAGCCGTGACGCTGGGCCGGGCCGAGTTGCAGGACTTAATCTTTGGACCGAACTGATGGGCCGAACCCATCACAAAAACAAAAGTGGGCCGAGCCGAGCCCACACAAAGATATTTAAATGGCCCAGCCCATCTCTACAAATAGTCTCACAATGGGTCGAGCCGAGGTCCAACGATACCGAACTGAGGAAACCTCTCAAAGAAAAGTGGAAGCTATGAATGCATGCATGTGCAGGCTGCCACCTCAGCTGGTCCCCTCCCCCTAGAATCACAGAAATGGTTGAACAAGGAAATGTGTTTGTTATCAACATGGAAACAATGAGTATATGCATCCATTGTCAAATACCTCATGATCCCCTACCTTGAACAATGTTAAAGAAAGCATGGTAGCACCAAAGTCTCATGAAACCATCTTGGGCAACAAGTAAGGAATTCTATATAAACTATAAGGACTTCACTTTAAAGGTAACTAAGTTAAGCTATAATATAGTCACTTGAACACAACTCTCTACACTTAGAGAGCACATCCCATCTTCTCCGATCACTTACTCCCACACCAGAGGGGTTATCCGGCCAGTTCTGGCCGGGCATCTCTAACGGCGCTCATTGTTGCAGGGACTTAGTTCCTGGATAGTCCAGTAGGGTGTAGAGCTCTGGTCCACAATCATCTAGTGCGGTATTTGGTACACACAATTGGTGCGGTGAGCGTGGAACTTTATCTCCGAGTTCTGCATCTGATTTCGGCGATGAGAATTGAGGATATTCCACCCTTGGCATTAACTCCACAAACGGAGAAGATGAAAGATAAGGGCTTGGCATTGACAGCAACTTTAGAGGAGCAGACTAGAAATAACAACCAGACTCCGGAATCTGTTGAGCATCGACAGCCCTTCGCTGGTGGTTCTTCCCACCATTTTCTGTTGGAGAAAGAATATCGTATCATTGATTCCATGGAAATGAAGATACATGAACTAAAAGCATAGCTCAAAAGGATGACGGGCAACCCAACGGAGAAGAGGATTGACACAGAACCCTCTCGTCTACGCCGAAGGAGCCCATCCCTGGAACCACCAGTGAAGAAGGTCCCCAGAAATGAATCTATGCAGCAAAGTTAGCCAATCCTGGTGCAAAGTGAGGCAGCGAGCAGCCACACCCGTGGTTTACACTAGAGAAGAGCTAAGAGGCAAAAAATGGTCAGCCAGCAGACAGAGTATCCTCCTTAGGATCTCCATACTTGGTTGGTCAGGAATAGACAAAATGAGCAATGACGAGAGCGTCAGGCTCAACACCTTGATTGTATTATCTATCAGAGCGAGCATCAAGCATTGGATCTGATCGTCTCCTCTCCTTTCTTCCCATATATCGAAGCTATGAGACCCCCCAAGAAGTTCACTCTACCAAAATTTACGTCATATGATGGAAAGTCAGACCCGCTAACACATATCAGCCACTATCGATAGATTATGTCCTTGTAGAGCCGAGATGAGGCATTAATGTACAAAGTCTTTCCATCCAGCCTGGGAGAATCCGGACTTCGATGGTTCGATCATCTCCCTACTGGATCGATTTACGACTAGAAGCAGCTCTCTGAAGAGTTCTTGGCTAGATTTGTTTCTAACACCAAAATCCCGAAAGAGCCAGACACCTTGTTCGGTCTCTGAAAGGAATAGGAGGAAACACTGCATAATTATGCAAGAAGGTACTGGGAAGAGTATAATGATTTGGAGGAAAATGCCTATAGCGAACAGATGACCGTAATGTCTTTTAAACATGGCCTGCGTCCAGAAAGCAAGTTGAGACAATCACTTACCAAACGCCCAGCCATAGCACTGAAGGACTTACGTGCCAGGATTGAGCAGTATGCTCACCTTGAAGATGATCAGATCCCCATCGAGGTGGCATCGATTGAACAAACAACTCGGGGAAATAGAAGAAGAGTAGATCGAAGGGAACCCCGAGGAGTCACAATGAATGAAGTAGACATGTCTAAATTCCATGAAGTAGTAGTTACAGTCTTCAAATAACCTATCTATCGTATTATGGAGAAAATCAAGAGAGAATCGTTCTTTACTTGGCCGCCAAAGATGCTAGGAGACCCAGCTCGGCGCAACCAAAAGCTCAGATGCACATATTATCAGGACAAGGGGCATATGACTCAGAACTGCCAAGCATTGAAGCAACACCTGAAGGACTCGGTAACTGCTGGGCACCTCCAAGAATACATTGATCCAGACAAAGTGGTGACCGAGCAGGGGAACCCCCCACCAGAACCAAACGCAGAGCATCCGCCTCGATTAGTCATAAATGTAATTCATGGCACAACCAGTCACAAGCGAGAAGAGACACTTCTAGAGGAAATTGCAAAAGCTGTGCAAATTCAGCAAGTCATGTCAATGGATCCAGCACCGAAAAAGGTATGAACAATACCTAAGACTCCCTTATGCACTGTTTCATTTACTAAGAAGGACTTAGAAGGAATTCAATACCCAC